CCCCCCCCCCGGCCAGCAAACGAAGATGTCGGGGACCATTTCTCCGAGAGATAGGCTGCAGCTCTGGGTTAATATATTTTTGCTAAAGCAAAAGGAAAACTCAGGTAGCGTAACCGCTACCTTTCGTGATGAGCAATGGTTTACTTTGGTATTCTTCAGCACAATTGAATGGATCTAGTCCCAGACTAATGGCCAACGCATTATGCCAAGGCGTTGGAAGAAAAATTGGTAGGCTAAAGCCACAGCAATGCAATGCGACAAGTGCACCTTTGATGCAGGTTAGTTGTGTCAGGGGCCAAAAACACATAGAAGATTCAACCCTCGCTGCTGGAACGATTTCCGCCTAATAAGAACAACGACCAGTCAACGCCTAAATTCAATTAGTTGTTGGGAAAGATTCACCTGCACCAATACACACTGCAACCCCTTTCCAGGCTCATTACAACCATTGAAGGCAGTTAAGATCGCCAAAATCTGCGCAAAACCCCGCGTGTGAAACAATCTACTAGCTAGTGACATCAGCTGCAGACATGAATCCGCCATTGGTGCCAAACTTGGCCAAAGGGCGTGTGATGGGATAAAGTCCTCAATGTCCTTCATTTTTGATTCCCATACCGTCCTGCACCTCGAGTAGTGGAGGTAGGGGAGGACGTGCTGATTCCCAACGGGGTCGACCCTTGTCCTGCAGGGTGCATAAAAGCAAACTTGCACGCTTGTTGCAATTTTTTGTAGGCAGATTTCAACCCAGCAAATCATTTACCTCGCGGAAACCAATGGGTATTGATACGGGGTTGCATCAAACACCAGGTGAAGATCTCATGGATTGGGAACCCATTTAAGCTACAATGAAACGAGCTGCATTACCATACAACTCTCAGATCCCACTGGGCGGCTGTGCAGATCACATGGGTTTTGGAACAAAATGCAACTCGTTCAAATTAAACCACCACATTGCTAAATCAAGGTTCTGCTCACTGTCCGGATGTATCATTGTTGCGGCTTCCGGAGTCTAACTGATTGGTTCAAAAGAGCCACGCTATTGCATTTCTTAGACGGGGTGGACCCTGCCTCCTCCAAGCGTGCCCCTCTGCGCCTGCAGCCAGAGCTGATGGCTTTCAGCGGCAGAATGCGATAACAGAATATACAGTTGCCGCGCCCCTAGACAAGAAACTTTCAGTGTTGCCTGATGACAAGAATGGAGGCCAAATGGTTTTGCGCGTGCAGTTCCTGAAGGCGCCAACACGCCGGTCAAGCGTTTTGTGGGCCAAGAAGCGACGATGTTGCTGGCTCACTTGCGGCATCAATGGTGCTCAGCTTGTGCCTGTCGCGGGCCGCCCACGGCCAGAGTCTGCAGAAGTGACAGGCCCTACCAACGGCAACTGGCAAGTTACCGGTGCACATGCAGGGAGCAGGTGGGAAAATCGAGCCAGCAGGAAAATAATCCTTCAACCGGGTCTGTCTATGACTTGACGGGGCGATGTCTCAATTCAATATTGGGTACCAAACATGGGCGGCACAAGGTGCTTGGGGCCTATAGCTTGCAAACCAACACATGCAGCTGCCTGCTCAATGTCTGTCTGGGCTGCCGCGCTTTGTCAAAAAGTCCGCGCTGACACCAGCATGCCGTGCATAATAGGCTGCAGTGGCCCCGTGAATGTCCCGCCTCAGAGGTGAGTCCAGTAAACACCCTCCTGGCAAGCCTTTGCGAACATGGGCAGCTTGTGCAAGCTTTTGATTGTTGGCGCTGCTTTGTTTGGATAAGCCCCTTCAAAAACCAATCCAAAATTCCACCACCCCTGCGCTACCTGAGCTTAGCAAAGCACTTCTCACAGAAATGCAACTTCTTTGGACATCCGTTTGGCCGTTTCACAGCCAAGCTTTGGCATGTTTAGCATGCGCTGAAGAGATGCCTGCAAGCCGTTTTGGCCCTTCAGGTTGCCATCTTCTTTGAACTTGGCGCATGCTACTTTTAGCCTTTTCAGCAGTGTTTCTGTGAGGGTGCCTGCGACTTTCATCTTTTGCAAGGTTGAAGCCCGACCATTCACTTTGGCCTTTCCCAGCTGTGTTCGAAGGACTGGCTTGCCTCCAACTGTTGCTTGCTTGTTTCTAAAAGCAGTTTGGACGGCTCGCCGCTTCACGTCCAGCCCGGCTTTGAGCCGCTGAACCGTGAGGTCCTTTTCTAACTCCGTGAATGCCATCATGACTCTTCGGAGGAACTTCTGTGCCGGGTTGGGGCAGTGGTCGTACAGGGCCGGCACGTCTGCGGGGACGATTGTCACACCGAGATTTTTGGAGAGCTTGTAAAATTCCTCCGCCACTGACGCGTCACGGGCAACTACACGGCTGCTCTCTACATATACTTTGTTTATTCCTGCATCACGACATTCGCCCAAGAAGTTCACAAAAGCCGTGCGCTTGTCTAGTGGCAGAGACCCAGAAACCACTTCCGACAAGCGCTTGGCGATTTGACCTTTTTCGTGCTCGGAGAGGTGCTGGGCCGCCTGTCTTTGGCGGAGGGGCCCGCTCCTGGTTGCATTTGTCAATGAACTTGTTCTGGCGTACAACGCGACCTGCAGCACAGGTCGGGGCCGTCCTGCGCACACCTTCTACGAGTACAAATATATTTTGGCGCTGGCAGGGTGGTGAGATGCCCTGTGTGCCATTGGCTGGGGCCACCTGAGCTATGCAGTGATCAGGTGAAAGTATTTGTGGGAAGCAGGCAAAGCAACAGCCAGCGTGTCAATCCCAGCACCACGGGTTACTCTACCATCCGCTTTTCAACATGCCAGACCTTTGGACTTCGAAAAACATGGGCAGACCGACCCCTTTAGAGCCACACCTCAAGCACAAAGTGCTTCAGTTTGACAAACGCATAGTCATTCATGGTTCGCGGATCTCAACGCAGGAAGGAAGTTGTGTCAACAGAAAAAGAATCGCCCTTGACCTCCTTTCAACCTTTACTTAAAACACATCCGCAAAGGTCTTTGCAACATTACCCTCGTTGGCAAGTTTTTTTAAATGGTGATCCATCCCACCTTCTCCTTCTGCTCCTCCTGCTTCTTCTGCACATTTGCTTGTGAAGAGCCCTTTGCCATTATTGCTGCTGGCCACGTGCCCCCTGGTTCCATTTATGGGATTTTGAGCCAGCCTTGAAATCATTGAACATAAAGCCAGAAGTCGTTCCAGAGTTCTGCGCAAAGCTTGCCATCAACCTATGCAGGTTGGACATCTTCCAGCCAGTCTGGCCACTTGAGCGAATGAGTTAAAGTGATGAGGCCTTTCCAATGCTATCGTAACCTACCTCTTCCCAAAAGTGCAACGGCAAAACCCGACAGGCTACTGTGATCGAATGCAGGGCCCAAACAAGTCCACAATCTCCCGGCTGATCCGCGGCGCAAACCACATGAGAACCTGCAGGCCGTTTTTGGTGCTCGGCTTGGTGGGATCAGGTGGCTTCAGCATGGGGTACATCTAAAACAGAAACCTCTGGCGTTTGGGACGTTTCTTGACGGCCTTGAGTTGTTCTTCTTGCGCTGTCCACGTAACGTGCGAAAAGAATCCATTTCCATTTATTCCTCATTCACCCCAAGCTCACAAGGTTGGAATGTTCCATGGTAAGGAGGCTTGTTGTTCCCCGATTTTGTTGTTTCCTGGAACGTGCTGATCGTTCCCAGGGAGCAGGAATCCCCATGGATGTGCATAAGGTGGTGATGTTTTTTCGTGATCTGCAGACTGCATCGTGTTGTACTGTGAACTCGCATATATATATATATATATATATCGACGTGTACGAGTTGTCGAATCACAAGTCGCCACAAGTAGAGTAAGTGAAAACACATATTGTGAACAACCGTGAATTGAATCGCTGGAAAGAATGTGACAAGAGCGAAAAGCCAAATCAGAAGAAAAACATACAGGAAGACAAAGAAGCAGCAGCAGCAGCAGCAGCAGGGAAAGAGAGCAGGAACATTATCGGCAACAAAAACCACAAGCCACAAACATCCCATGTGCCAGCCATGGTCTATTAACAGCGACAGCGACAACGACAGGGATAAGACCCACCACAAACCGCCAGGAGAATTTGAACCTTGTCATGGTTTGTTTCACAGTCTTTTGAGAGCAAGAGCAAGGCCGCAGCAATTCGAACGTAGCGGCATCAAGCAAGAAGGCAACCAACCAGACCGACACCCCACCAGCCCACCAATACCGTCAAATGCTTGGCTCGCCCAGCTTACACCCGCTCCTACTTCAGATTTGAAGGAGATGGGCAACCAAGCAAAGAATCTAGCAACAAGGCAACGAAGCAACCAAAGCCCCACCAGACTTCGTTTGCATTGCACGGCAAAAGCTCCGCCTCCCACCAAGAAACCAAAGAAGCAACCAAGTAACCAAGCAAGCAACCCCGCAACCAGGCAACCAAGCAACCCGCAAGCCAAGCAATACCATAGCATGTTCAAACCATAGTCTACCAGCTATCAACAGCAACAATGCCAAGGACAACAATGGCCATTAACCACAACGACAACGACACCAACCTCAACGTTCCCATGGTTCGCTTCATGGTTTTGTTTTGAGTGTTGCTTTTGGGAGCAGGGCCAAAGCAATTCACACGTAGCTAACCTGAAAGCGAGCAATCAGGGACCAAGCAAACGACCAACCCACCGCCATGCAATGCCGTGAACAATTTTGGTCACCTGAACAGTAGAGCAACTTACCGTCTACATTATGTATGTATTTAACACCACCAAGCAACCCACCAAGCAACCCACCGATCCACCAGCCGAAAAAATACCATCAAATTCTTGATTCACCTCAAGAAAACATTGCGCGGGAGGCGCTGCGTCCTTCCCTGCACCCCCTCCCCTCTTCCTGCTTGATATTTTAAGGGGATCAAGCTGCAACGCAACCAATAAATTGAGGCAAGCCAGGCAAAGAACTTATCAACCAGGCAACGAAGCAACCAACCAAGAGACCAAGGAAGCAACTAGTAAACAAGCAAGCAAGGCAACAACCAGGCAATCTGCCAGCCAAGCAATAGCTGGTTCAAGCAGCCATGGTCTATCAACAGCAACAGCGACAACGGAAAATACAACAACGGACACGAACCACAACGACAACGACAGCAATGACAACTTCAACCTTGCCATGGTTTGTTTGGTCCGCTGCGTTTGAGAGCACGCCCGAAGCAATTAGCACGCAGCCAATCTGATGGTGGAAACTACAACAACTGTGCGCAACATTTGCGCATGTAGTCGTCAGTGTTCCAGCACCACTTTGCGTACGTTCGTTGCAACGATCCGCTTGAAACCAAATGTTCCCTACCCATTAGTAAGTTGTATGATCCCTACCGGCCCTACCCATTAACGGGGGAGACCTGAACAATTGCAACTTACATATTCCTCTAACACATACCAAACACAATGTAAGTGACATCTGTCAGGCATAGTCCTACAAGTTACATGTTTCAATGCAAGACATGTAACTATCTGCGGAACATGTAAGTTACATTTTTTGCAGGCCAAGTGGACGACTGTGTAAGATTCTTGCTTTAAATGTTGCTCAATCCTGCTTCATGCAGCTTCATTAAAAAGCAAACAAGAAGCGGTTCTTTTCTTCTTTCCTGCAGTTTTCCAACCCCCTCCCCCAAAAAGAACATAGGGGGGGAAGGAGCTGATGTAGCTATATCCCTGGCAGGCATCATGTTACATTTTCAGACCCCTCTGCCCCTTCATGTACCTCAATTCTTGGCCTAAGGAGGGGGGTAAATTGCATCCAAATGGATGGGGGAGTCTGAACATATTACGTTTTTCAGACCCCCTCCAAATCCATGGTTCAGAGGGGGGTCATATGGATGTCCATGAATGTCCCATCCTCGTGAGCACGTTGAGCTCCCCAAGGTGGCATCGGCCGGCGGAGGAAAGGGCGAGGCAGTAAGAACCAACATGACATGTTTTGCTTTTACTGCATCCAGTCTTCTAATATCTCCGACAAGTTTGTCTATATACTGGCAGAGTGCAGTTTATCTACTACTGGGGTAAAAGAACAACATATCGATAGGAAGCAATCAGCAATAAATGAACATTTGCTTTGAGAGACATGAGTGCACAAAAAGAAAGGTACACACACTTTTTTAATTCGGTCACCAACCTCAGTCAGACACCAGAAACACATGAAAACACCAAATCAAGGAAGTGAAAAGACCAGGGAAGGAACAACACCAAAAGAAATGGACAACACAAAACATCTTTTGGGCCCCCCGGGGTTCAGAACACCCCCCCAAAAAAGGGAAGCGAAATCACCCGACCCCTGGGATTTCCCGGTGGCCCGTGGTCTATTTTCGTGTCCCTCAGAGCTCCCCTTCACCACCCCATCAGCACCTCCGAGAGGCCCGCGCGGCTGGCCAAATGGAGCGGTGACCTGGGCAGCGGCCAACCCACGGAAGATGTCCACGGGACACGTGTAGACTACAGCAACCCATCGTTCCTGAACGACCGCAGTCGAAAGAAACGACTCCAACTGTTTTCGGTAGTTACTGCAAGGAGCGAGAGTTTTTGATTGACACTTCCAGGTGGATTTGCTTGAAGGGGATATGCCGAATATGCTTTCAAAACAATCACCAGGAAACACCTACCAAGGATCAGAATTGGAAGAGTTTGTCTTGCAACTGCCATACCGTTGCGAAATCCCCAAGATTCCGCTTCCACTAAATTCTGACCACCTCATGAATCATAAAGCGCTTGTGGTTTCAATAGATCAAGACCATCTGAGGTAGAGACTGGCCCTTTTGGTTCACCGCATTGACATTGGCCTAGCACGTGATGCACGTGATGCGTTTGCCCTCAATCTACAATAAGTGGAAGCGGAAAAAGGAACATCATCATACTAATTAATGGTTAAAGCCTAAACTGGTAGATCCAACCCGTTGGGCAGTTTCCATTTTCCATCTCAACTAATGGTCTCCTCATCCTCGTGGGATCTTGTCAACTCACTTACTTGTCTTTCTGGGGCCTGAGCTCCGGACGAATAGCTATGGGGAGCCAGATGTTTGGGTATTTTTTGAGAACGCACTTTAAGTCGTAAATTCCAGGGTTCAATGAGTTTGGCCAAAGCTGATGCCTGGGATTGTTGTTATAGTGAAAGGATTCTCATGTAGGGCATTTTATAGAGTTTAAAGAATCGAAACAGTGCACCAGGTAACTGAAGTGGAGGTCGATTTCAGGTTCTGTGCTTAAGTTACTGGGCACGGGCACAGATGTGTCGCCGGACACCGGGTGACGGATTCCGATTGTTCTACGATCGCTGAACGCAGAACGCAGATCGGATGGTGGATCTGAGGCTCTGGTGATTTTCCTCGAGAGCGGGGTCGAGAAGGCGTGAGATCGATGGATAGATGGATGGATAGATCCTTTGATTGAATAACTGGATTAAGTTTTTCGGGATTGTCCACCTGGTTGATTTCTTGGTTCCCTGCCTGGAGTGATTCCTGAGTTGGAATTGGGAAGCTTGGTCCAGGGGGGCATTGACGTTGCCAAACGAAGCACCGGCACAACTTTGACGCCAAAAGCGCTCAACCCTCACAAGCGCCGAAGGCAAGCTAGCGCCGTCGAGCAATAACATTGTGAAACTGTCCAAGAGATTCGAGAAGGACAGCCGCTACAGAAGCTGGAACCGTTCTGTCCATATGACACACAAAGCTGGCACTCATCTTAGGCTTCTTACGCAACCTAGCTGCAGTGGTCTCCCAGCATCGTAATCATCTTCGAAGCATGTGCAACCAAAGAAACACCAATCAGCAGTTGGCTGGCGAAAAGGATCGACAAAAAATATCGAGAGGTCGGATCTTCCACTTGGTACTTACTACCCCCCAAAAGTCCAGGCATTGACCAACATTGTTTCTGCACTTGCCAAAATGTGGCTATATCTTGCTAGGTGGATGGTCTAGCCGAATCCCTTCTTTCCTCTGCTCATAGCACCTCTTCTGATCTATGAATTGAGCTGCCCCAGCTCTTTATCGATTATGCCCTTGGAGGGGACGTATCGGGTTCAAAGGCTTAGACAGATGGGAACAACAGCTTGCAGACGATATGCCCCCAAACTGTTGAGGATATAGCAATTCAAGGGCTTTCAACATCTTTGAACAATCTTCAATGTTATATAAGAGCTTCGGAGGCAGGCTGCAAAAGCATGCATCCCCACCATGATGCCACCCAGATGTTCCCCTTCTCTACTCTTCTCTCCTCTCACCCCTTGTCAGCTCCGTTTTTCTCCTCTGCTCTTCGATGACCTGTGCTGTTCCGGACCCATTCCTGTTGAACAGCATGTACCCGCTATCCTTTCCCCTTTCGTTCCCTTCTCCTCCTCCGCAACATATCACTTGCAAAATGTAAGCCCTCTTTTTTGGGCCCACCAAATTCACCACTAGATTCCACTTTCCTGTGCCTTCACCCCCTTCCTTCCTCGGAGAAAAACAGCAATGAAAAATGACTCGTGCAAACTAGACACCCGGGCCCGACCCCAAGAACCTAGCTTTCTTCCAAAGAAGTTCAAAACTATCAAACGACAGAAAAGAGATAAACAAAAGAATACTCATTGAAGACTCAATTGAGTTGGTATCCCCGCTGGCCCGCCACCTTTCTTTCACCATAGTTTTTACAGCCGCCTTGTGCTCCAAAAGGATGTCACAAACTGAACTGCTGGGCCTGAAAAGCACAGCCGGGCACGGCTGCGGCTTCTGGATTGGGGATGCTTTGAGCCTCGGATTTTTTGAAGCTGTAGGAGTTTGGAGGCTGCCAAGTCACGACGGACACCCAACTCATCCCAACTCTGCTGCCATCTTTTCTTGGCCAAATCTGGTGAACTCACCTAAAAGGTGTGAGAGTTCATAAACAGTCCTTGAGGATCCTTGAGGTCAAGGAATGAATCTCATCTGCTTGCAATAGTGAAGCATGAGTGTTTCCTGATTTGTTTGCTATCGTCTTTTCCTGTACCTTGCATGGCCTGTTGCACCCACAAAGAGCGGCATATGGAACACAGTCAAGCAATGGGAGGTTCTCTGAGCACACCTGAGGCCTTCAGGTTACAGATCTTCGCACAGACGTGAAAAACAAAACACGCCCCTAACAAGAGGCTTGGAGGTGGAACCCGTCCTTCCCTTCCAAGGTCTTCCGAGGTCTTCCCAGGTGACCGCACGCGAAAAAGAAGGCCGTCTGCCCATGCTGATCTGCAGCGTTCGCCTTGAGTCGTTGCTCGCGGAGTCTTGAAGCTTCGACATCCGCGGATGCGATCGAAGGGATGCGAAGCTTTGGGTGCTGTTGTCTTGGGTTCACGTTGCTGCGTAATTTAATGGGGAGACTCACAACTTAACTCACAACCCAATGGGTTTTGGTCCATTTCCATCCATTTCCCTTCTTTCAGGGGGGGTCTTTGGAACTTTCCCTATTTTCATACACACCCATTGGTGTTGTGTTTGGGCGACCTTGACTATCTTGACTTGCTGATTGACTTGCCCAAGATCACCAGGGCAAACCAACCTGGGTGATCGCACCATGAGTCACATGCCAGTCACATGCCGGTCACTTGCCGATGCCGAAATCGCGGCTTGCGCGGACTCCTTGAGTGGTGGGATTGCGCAGGTACTACGGACAACGCCTTGGACCTACTTGGAAGTCTGGAAACGATGGACACCATGCAAGAAAATGGTGGGACTGCAAAACTCCCCCCTGCAAAAGACATATTCCACGGGAAATGTGATCAAGTTTCTTTGCCCCAACCAGGAATCTACCAGAGTGCAGCAAAGTTGCATCAGCTCTGCCTTTCAGCAGGGTCTGGCAAAGGTCTGTTAGGCCATCGAAGGAGGCTGAATGAAGTACCTTACTCTCAAACAACCAATTGCAGCCCTCAGGACATTCACGGCATGGACATTACTGCTAGAACAGCTTCCAGTACTCATTTGAGATTTGCCAAACACTTCTGGGTTCGAGATGAGAAGCGATTTAGGTTCGGAAGCGATTCATTCTTTCCTCCTCGGAGTCGAATCAGGCCCCTACATCTCTAAGAGACTGCATGGTGAGTTGAGACTCTGCACACTCCTAACCCAGGAACAAAAAGGACTGTCGACAGGTCCCTATTCCTCCCCAAGCTCCAACCAATGAGATTTTGATGAGTGTACACATGTCTACACTGTGGCCGGATGGGGTATGTTTTCCCACAGTCTCCAAGAGAGAAGATGCAAACAAACTACAAATTTTCAACAGGGCAACACCCCTTGGCTTTGCCCCTTAGAGCACCAAGCTGCACAAACACCTTTGGCATCTTTCTCGTTGGGGTCGGCCCTGGCGTGAATCAGCAGCCGCGCCATCTCGCTGCTCTGTGCGCCGACGGCCGCCCTCAGGGGTGTCTCAGGGCCATCCCAGCGGTGGGGAGAGGCGCCCTCTCTGAGACAACGAGACAAGGCGCCCAGTGCTAAGGCACGCTTCTCTTTGCTGGTGTGCCTGGGCTGACAGGAGCGCGAAGAAGAAGCGGTTTCTTACGGGACAACATCTGTTCTTGCTGGTGTGCCTGGATTTGAAACTGTGGTCGAGGAAAGAGAAAGGGACCAGGAAAAACCAAGCTGCTTCAAGCAGCACCTCTACACACACACACACAGCGTAGGCTTGTTAAGTTCCATTCCTGGTACCCTCAGCCCGTTAGAACACATCCACCAAAACTCGGGCTTTCATGTGCACCTCACCTCTACTACACCCTGAAAAAGTTGCCAAGCAAATCCAACTTGACGGTTCCAGAAGCGGTTGTGCCACCTCAAACAAGCTCTTCGGCTCGCGCTGTCGGGGTGTACGTAGCGGCGACGAGCTCACGGCGCGGCCCGTGGGGCCGGTGGCACCCATGCGACGTGGTGTGGAGGGTGTGGCACTGGCTGGGCGAGTGGGGCTTTGACTCCTGGACGATGGAGTGATGGAGGGGGGACGATCGGGACGATGGAGCAACACATTTCGGAGCACAGATTGGTCAATGGATGGAATGCATCCTCTTCAACTCTTCAACCTCTTCATCCTTAGCCAGCCAACCAGAACCTGAATAGTATGGAATTTGCGGTCACATGTTCGCGATGATGTCACACAAATGAAGCCTCAAAGAAGAACCAGCAGTGCTGGACCAGCTGTACAAGATCTCTCTGGCAAAAAGAGGTACACTCATCCAACCAGTCACTGTGTACCCAGAATTGGTGCACCTTTCTCTCTCTAAGCTTTAATGTACCCACTGAAGAAGGTACTTGGAGACTGCAAAGCTGTTCTTCCTACTACCCAGCTGAGTTCATCCAGTCTTTGGCATCAAGAGGAGTGAGCAAAAACGACTGCAATTTCCTTCCACACGGAACGCGCCTGGTGGGAAGAAGGGTATATAATTACTTCATCCAAACTCAAAGTTCAAGTTAAGTCTAATTTCGTTTATATAATTTCCAATCTTCAAACTGCCAATTCAGTCCACTAGAGAAGCACCATCTCGTGTAGGCACGCGGAACAAACAAACATATCGGCTCCTGATCCGCGTAGAAACCGCACCTCGAGAAAACGCATGTGAAGCATCGTCTTTGGGCTTGGTGAACTTTGCAACCTTCGCCTTCGCACTCACATTGCTGTTGGCGCGCCTTCACAGAGCGAACCGATGAAACAGCGGGGTGGAGGAGACTGACTGGAAGGCTGACAGGCGGGCAAACAGGGAGTTGGAGCGGGGTGGTTGACCTTCGCATAGGCAACAAGTTGTGTTGTTGGGTGGAGGTTACAGCCGCCCTCAACCAGCAGCAAATTTCATGACTTCAGTTGCAAGGAAGGCCCCCTGAGGGAATGTGGAGCTTTAGTGATGGTGGATAATATTCTTTGTGCCTGCGTTTTTCGCATCATCGAGAGTTCCTGAGAGTCACACACCACAATTGCCATCGTGGTGCCAAGGGTCCCTTTGAAACTGAGACAAAGCAAACAGGAACACCACCGCGCCGAGTCGCCGAGTAACGACTCCGCTCATCGTGTGAAGCCTTGAAGCAAGAAATCAACTTGCAGCTAACTCTTGCAGCTTCATGCATCCTCACCCTCCCTCCCTGCATGCTCACTCCGCACTCTTCGGCCAGGCCTGCTGGCCGTGCTGCAGCCGCTTGTGCAGCTGCTCGCGCAGCCGCTCGTGCAGCCGGTCACGTCGGAGCCACCGGAGGAGGTGCTGCAGAGGCTGGGCCGCCGCGACACGTCTGTCTTGGCGGACGCCGTCGGAGCTCTCGCGGTCGTGGGAGCGGCCGTGGCTGCGGGCGGAGCGGCCTTTGGTGTGTTGCGAGTGGTGCAGCCTGGCGGCGTGGGGAGTGGGGATTCACAAGGAAGGGGAGACCAAAAGTGCCAGAAGAGATCACCTTTCCTGAACAAACATGGAACGTGACAGAATATAAGGAACAGGATTCTTCTCTGTTGTTGGCGACTCGTCACTTCTATGTTGCTTCTTCAGATGGTATGTGCCCTTTGATTGTCTTCAAAACATCTCTTGTGAACACATACAGTCCAACTACTGCAAACAAATTTTAGTAGAGTCCTGGCTTAAAAGCAAGAGGCTTAGTGAACGCTTTCGAATCTGCATATTTTGATTTGAATAGGACATCCTGAATCCATACCTGGACATCTACACTATGATTTGCCAATGTCGCAAGGTCCATCAAGAGAAAAGGAATTCCTCCCTGCATGTTCAACATCCCAATCTCCATCTTCGTAGCTTGCGGGCACCCCTCTTCCAGCTCTGAAGGAGCCCTCTAGCCTGTCTTGGAGCCACACTTCGCCACTTCCTGCGCTGCGCTCGGAGTCTTGGCCGCACCGGAGCCAGCCAGGGCTGTCAGGCTTCGGCGCAGGGCTAAGGTCTCCTTGCATGTGGGAAAACAAAGATCAACATGTGAGATCTTTGTGAGCTTCATTGAGCTTCCCAAGCGCTTTAAAAAAATTAGGCAATGAGGCCATGAAACAAGAATGCACCATGAAAATTGCGATTAAGTTTGCGTGCTTTGACCATTAATGTTGTTCATCTTCAATGAACATGCTAGGTAGGCAATGCATCAACATATTACTTCCCTCCAGGCACAAAATATATCAAAATATGTTCATCGTGGCTCTGGGTCAACACGACCACATTGGTCTACCAGAAAAACATCTACAAAACGTCGCAGCAGCTGCCCACAAGGCCGGTGCGATCGATTTTCTCCTGCTTCAACTCCTCAAATCCTTCTCTCAATGAGTTCAACTGCAGCTCGTGATCGCTCACCAGCTGCAGCAGCCGGCCCGCGCCCATCATTCCGCCCGCTGCACCAGCAAACTCGGAAGACCACGGCTTGCTGCGCACAGGAGTGCGAGGACGAGAATCACGGAGATGGTGGCCGTCTTTGGCGAAGGCCATCGGAGGATGCGTTTCTTTAAGAACTTGAAAAAACCTCTGAGCAGAGTCTGCAGCCTGTGATACTTGACTGGTTCTCCTTGGCACGCAAACTTTGTGTTTCGTTTTTTTTGCGATTGACGTTGCAGTGAAACCAGGTTCCTCTTGATAGAACAAGCCATGAGCCACTGGTCATGATGCTTCATTTTGTGTCCAATTCAACATCTGGGCTGGGGCTTCTCTTCCTGCCGTGAAGCCAACTGATAAATGCTTGAAATGCGATCGTGATCTTTCTTCCGGGCTGAAGTGGAATGGTTCACGAAACCCAATACCAGTCCCTGAGATTGTCATAGCAACCGTGTATAACCAAGTCCTTCACCAATGGATGGTCCTCAAAAAATGTCAGCTCATGTCAGCTCTCTGTAGTCATCAACCTCATTTGTTCATTCCAACAGCTGAGTAACCTCTTCTTCAACCATGCGAATGCCCATAAAACCATGGGATCCTGAACGCCCATCGATCACGGGTTCCACGGCGGTGCAGCATCGGCGCTCCCGCTGGCGTTGGCGGGAAGCTGTGCCAGCGGCGTTAGCTCGATCTCCCATGCTGTTCGACTTGGACCTTCGGAGCTGGTGCGTTGGGTAGGACAATGGGAAGAGGTCACTTTTCCTTGCCGAGGTCAGCATGTTTATTAAAAGGCGCATCAGCGTATCGCAGATGGATCTGCGCCCGCTCTACGGAAGTGGCCGAACACCGCCCGAAGTTTCCGCCCGAAGATGGAGCATCCGAGTTTCGGTGGCAAGTTCACTTCCGGCTGGATTCAATTGATTGATTGATTGCTGCTGAACACGAGAGCTGTTGGCAAAATCAAGTCTGAACAAACTGGCCGTTGCTTTCTTAGTGACTTAAGCAACAGAGTGTTGTTGAACTTGGTGGGGCCCAGCATTCCCTTGCATATCGCTTCAAACATACCTGACACGGCTCAGAGCACGTTGGCCCTTCACTTCACGGTTGGACCCACTTCATCCACCTGCCATATACTCTGACTCTGCAGAACAGTCGGTCTGATAGGCGACTAAGTATCTTTACCGCAAGTTTCGTAGATCTGCAGGAAGCAATCGTGCATCTCTGTAGACATTTCGATAAATGAGTCGTTTCTTCGTTGCGGAATTGGAGTGTCCTGCAAACAGCGGCCAAGTGGACATTTTTCCCTTACATCTTTCCTAGCCTTTTGTCATAGCTGAGCCATGCAAAAGCGATGGCCTGCAATGCAACTAACCAACCCGGGCGTCCCTTCTTGCTATTCCCAGTAATTCGATGCCTCACTTGTCCAAGTATTTGGCCAAAAGCTTCTTGGTTGGTGCCAAGAACCTGAGTTTGCAAAGGGTAGCTTGTGTGGTGTGGGAGTTTAGATGTGGTGCGCTGTGCGGTGGGGCTTCGGCAAATCATCTTTCTTTCATTCATTCTTTCATTCATTCTTTCTCTCCTTCTCTCTTTCTCTCTTCTCAAATTCAAGTTCGAAGGTCGCCAAACTTTGGTGAAATAATGCTCCGATCCCTTTCTACACTGGTTCAGAAGACCAAAGCAACCGCAAACATGTCAGGCTCTTTCAAGCGCCGTCCTTGAGTCCAGCGGTCATTTCGAGCATGCGAGAACTGCCGTCCACAACGAGGCTGCCACTTGGAGTCATCAGCTGATCCTTTCCTTGCTTGGCTGAGATATCCTCTCACCTGCAAACATGTGCACCCCCAAAAAAACAACCAGCTTGCTCGCAATGCCTGCTGCAGAGATATGATCCACAACGAACAGGGCCGCATTTGGGTGGAACTCGCGCCTCCTTGGCCAAGACCTTGCCAAGCTCCACACCCCACCTGAGCAAGCCAAACAAGCCACGCTTGAAGCGTCTTGCAGCAGAATCAAACTCTCAATATTTCCTCTTAATGCAGGGGTTTTAGCAAGAGGCTTTTTTCAGGAGCGCCTTGCGGGGTGTTTCAGGGGCCCATATCTCCTAACTTTGCTAAAGCTCTAGGTGACAACTGGTCCTTGCATGAGTCTGGTCCCTCATCTTCTTTGGGTCCAAGGCTGGTCAAAGGAGTTGACGTTCAAAAGCCAACCTGGCCAGCGCTCAGCAGATTCGCTGGATGTGCCTGTGGCTACCTCAAGCTTGCTTGCCTTTTCCGTTGGCAAAAATCAGAAGACAAAAGAGAAGCACAACCTGCAACATGCGATTTGCTAAAACTGCTAAAGGCTAAACTTACACTCAACGCTGACCTTGCTTGCTGCTCGGGGCTCCAGGCCTATAGTCGCAGTCCGGTGCTCATACATAGCTAGCAGTTGGCCAAGCCTGAAGCTGGTGTTGATAAGATTGCATGTGCATTTGCTCATCCAAATGCGGCAGGAAGCGGCAAACAGTATTTGCCGTACTCATGGCTCACACCCAAACACAATGCTCCATAGATTGCCTGAAAGTCAGTTGCTAAAATGGAGGCTTGGGACATAGCCGCCTTAAACCCCCTTGAACCCAACTCTATGGCGTGCTCTTGCCCCAAAACGCTCCGTGCTTTTTCGGTTTTCTCCTGGCCCCAGAGCTCCGTAGCCGCGGGTTTGGGCTGTTTTGGGGGTCGCATCAACCGACTGGGAATTCTCCTTCTCCCGCCGAGACTCCAGTGTGCGTTGCAAACTGGAAGTAGCAATGACCTCAACTTGGCGACTTGGCGATCTTGAAAAGGCTGGCATCGCGACGGTGTACTTGAAGGCAACGGCCAAGTTCGTAAACATTGCTTATGGAGACTCCAAATGAGCAACAGTTTGGTGATTATTATCTTTTGGGAGAATAGCGCAACAAGCTGCTCTTGTTCACACGACCTTGACTGCTTCCTTCATCTGGTGCTTGTCTGCCTATCTATTTCACGCGAGATGGTTGGTTTTCAGCCCACCATTCAAGACGGTAGTGCAAGAAGTGCCGAACCGATTTGTAGGCATTTACCTGATGCTCTATCGATCTACGTACTGCTGCATTGGTCTTGAGACTGCCACAAGGACGGTCGATCTCCAGGAAAGGTCTTGTGAGAAATGAGATTGTCAGGGACCTTGTCTGCCTGGCAGAAGCATCTCGACACAGTTGGAGTGAGGAGGTTAGAAGCTAGAAACTTGGTCAATCACACCTCCAACTTGCACAGAGGCCACATCCTACATCTTCCACGTCAAGTTAACTCAACTCTGCCGTAGCAGTTTACTCAGCTCTGCCATAGCAAGCCATCCTCAAGAAGACCATCACGAATATACAGCCTGGTCAATGAGAAAGAACCCGCTACTTCCATTGACCAGGTTCCCTTCAGCACCTTCAACTCATCGGCAGTCTTGCCCAGGGCCAAAGCATCTGGGGAGGAGGATTTGGTAGGTTTTGGAGCTTTGGGAGCTTTTGCAAGAGGTCTCTCAGCCCGACTTGTAGGTCTTGCTTGAACAGGCCTTTGCATAAACCTCCTGTGGGTTTTGTAGGTCTGGTCTAAGGCTCTAGGATCTACTCCCCACTGGGAGAGGTGAGACGTATCTGAAAGAAGCCTTCTCCGGGCTCCAAAGTCGACGTTTCGACTAAAGCAACCAATCTACAATGTCTCTTTTAGCCTCCAAACGATTGAGTTCCAGTACTTGCAGAGTGCACATCTGGATAACACAAGAAAATCACTGCGAAGTCAGCTTAGACTTCATCTGCAGTTCTGTGGTCACACGTATCAGCCACTCGTCGGTCCACTCTCACCTCACTGGTTCACAGTTCCCGTGCCTGGCTGTGCAAAGAAGTTGGACATGAGCTCATCATGATTGGCCACCGCCTCCCCCCGGAAGCTCCACCTCTGGCACACCGCGGCGGAGCGAGATGAACAGTTTTTCGGCGATTTGTGTCGTGAACACGGTTTGGATGCCTTTTCGATCGGGCATGCGGCATTCTTTTTGATCGGCTGCTTTGATGTTTCAATTGTTCATGTTCAGACCGACAAGGACCGACAAGGACCGATATCGGCAGCGCTTCGGTTATTTTTTGTGAGTCGCGATCGAGAAAAAGATTGTTCCGCAGTCTCCTCACCGTCTCAGAGGGAGAGGGAACGTGGATGCACACTTCAGTGACAAAAGAAGTTCCAACAAGCAACAATAACTTCCACGAAGACGTCCCACTTTTGCATACTTCTGCTCGTGGAAGACATACCCCTAAGCTTGGGCCCAAAAATGGCATCTGACAAATCTGACTGCCGGAAGGACCACCTGGGCTTCAGCCGAGTGGCAGGGTGCTGAGAGGCAGCAAAACCAATGAAGTGCGAGGGGACCACACGGCCCTGGTGCAGCAGCTGGTAGAAGGAATGCTGACCTCGATCCGGCATGCTAAGCCAATGTCCAGAGCCGTAGAAACCCACGACCTTTCCAGAACATTGAATGCCAGCGAAAAGAGTCAGTCCGCCTGTTCTGTACCCACTCATTCTAACGACCGAAAAGTCGACCACAGGAAACCATGGGCGACGCGTCGTGTCACGTGTCACATCTCTGACCACCGCAGAAAATTGCGATGCGCACCAAATGTGGCTCCAATTGCAGCCACATGTTCCATCATCCTGCCACTTCGAGAACACCCCTTCATGCCCTTCATCCTACTTCATACCTCCGTGCATTCTCACAGGTCCCTTCTGCTTTTTGATGCGTTCCATTGCATTCCAAAAGGCCATTGGTGCCAGGCTCACCAAAGTTGATGGCACCCGTGGGCACTGCCACAGGGGTTCCATCCTCAAACCCAGCACGTACAGCTCTGGAGGGCCCAAGGGAGTTGCTTTGAAGGTTGGAAAACGGAGCTGATCTATCTGGAAAAGACTGGCTTGTTGCTACCAGTGGTATTGCCTATTGAGATGTCAAAGGCCTAGATTCTTGTTCCTCGTTGATCCAGCGCTTAAATTCCTAAAACACTCCCTACTAAGCAGCTGCCGCGGCCACCAAGTGTTTGCTTCCTTCCCTTGCACCCCAGGCAATGCAGAGATGAGCAACTCCTGGACTGCCATTGCAAGTTTTGCACTTGGATTCTCAATCAGAGCAACATGTCAATCAATTCCAGCAGGTTCATGAACTGTAGGGTCGTGTAGGGTCTTGTCACCAAGTGTCTCTGGACTACAGTTTCGTTTGGGGCACTTCTCGCTGATGGACATTCTCTGTTTGACCACCTTTCGAATGACCCTTTAGCAAGTCAGACGACTTGATAAGGCACGGGCCATCTGCACTCCCTTGCCATTGCCTCAGCACAAGCTGAAGCATTCCCTTCCACCCCCCTCTTTGTGCCCATTTCCACCTGGACGGTGATCCTGCGCACGGTGGAAGCATGCTGATGCATGCGGAAGCTGACTCAATCTGCATGGTGCGGAAGCTGACTCAATATGTGATCTGAGTTTCGAAAACCGCAATCTAGCAATCTGACGCCTGGTCAGCTTGAAATGGACAAGTTCACCTGTGTGGATCCACTAGTTCACCTGTGTGGATCCACTGGCTTCTGTGACATGGGCTTTGTTGATGGACGTGTCAGTACATGTCAGGGGCAAAGGAAGCAGTGTTCTCCTGACCCAGTCACTGGGCCCGCTGGGTTTGGGTGTCTCAAAGGAGACGGTGCGGTTTGGGTTGGGACCCTCCGTCACCATAAGTCCAGAGGTCGTTGATGTACCTCGCCGAAAGTGATGCCCATCTGCCTACAAGAATCACTTTAATAAGATAGATGCTCAAACATGATTCGTCAAGAATCAATTGATGTTGATTTTTTTTTCTGCCACAGGTCTGATTCGTAAAACGACCTGTGTAATGTGTTGCAGGAGCAAACGGTGGATTCGCTCCTGTTGAACAGCGGTGCTTGTGAGATGTCTCCTCCATGCACGCGCATGCTATAGAGGATTCAGACTCTGAATCCAAACCGTACCACAGCGTCAATCATTCCATTCTAGTTCTGCTGGTGTTCTTGCAACTCTTGTGGCTTTGTAGCTGGCACCTTTATACACCGGAAATCAGCAGAAAAGTCTACCACATAAACCTCAAAGCCCTGTCAAGGAAAGCACCAATACCCGACAAATTTGGTCGAACCGGAACAAAACATGCCCCAGGCCCCAGAAGGGGATCGATTTATAGGGAAAATACACATCATCCAATCCACCAAACCAAGTGCCCATAGGTACCCCATGTCACCAACCTCCAATGCCCAACCCATCGAGCAAACCGGCGATTGGGACCGTAAGTTGGGGGCCAGTCGAGTGGCTCTCCATATCCAACTGCTGGATGTGAGGGACAAAGCGCAGCAAGGCCTGCGCAAGGAGATTGTAAGAGATTTGTAGAAGGGGATTGAATAGAAGGGGATTGAATGAGGTGCATACGCAGAGAAAGGTGAAAATGACATGGATTTTGTTTACAATGCACGTGCCGAAGAAAGGTTTGCATGTTCGGTCCCACACAGGAACTGCAACACACGTTCTCCTTCTTCCCCTCAAAGGAGGCCAGGTGGACGAGGTTTGAAGGGTCGGATGCGAGGGTCGGTGGGCAGGGCAAACGCAAAACACACGTGTTGCAGTCCGAACGGAGTAGATATGCCTTTGGAGCATAGAAAACTGCCAGCGCATCTGATCATCTTGACGCCAGTCGTTCCCTCTTTCAAAACCAAACATTATGCGCGAAGGGAGGGGGCTCACCCATAGTCCAACATCAATACTTTGACAAGTTTTTGGCTTGCCTCAAGCTTTAGAGAGACCGCATGGGACCACCAAACTCTGAGCAGATCGGCACTTTCTGGCCTTGCGCGCCGTCCTCCCGTCCTCTCCGGTCGTCCCTTTCCGACACGCAGGGATTCACGACACCGCCTGACAGTAGGGAAGGATTGCAACGCCTTCGTAGCCCAGAAGGCTGCCGTTCCAGACCTGAGGGAGCGAACGGAGAAGGCTCCCATCGACGACGGAAGAGTTTTTTTCGTCACGGCCCAACATCCGTGTGCATAGAGAAAACTATAGAACACCCATAGATAGACAAGCCGCAGGACAAGTACGCTTTTAACTCACGAATGAAATCATATGCGTATCAAGAGCATCAGGTGGTTGGTGTCCCATGTCTAGCTTGGTCATTCTTCCAGTCACAAGCGGGGCCCCGGCATCCAGCAATCCCAGAATCAATGGCATGTTCTCCTTGGCCGGAGCCTGCTGGAAGTGCTGGTCCATGGCGTGCCTAGGGAGAGTCTTCAAGTGAGTTGAACATCTTGCAGGCTGGAGTTGGAACACGGCATTTAAACGCCATGTCTTTCTAAGTGCAAAACAAACGTTCACAAGAACTTGAGTGGACAGTGGACTTCTTCAGCTCTTTTGTTGGGGATGAATCACACCTCCAAAGAAGCACTGCCTGGGACTGGGCTGCCCCAACCCGCCCTCCAAGAACTGATTCACCACATCGAATCCGTACCTTGGCGAGGACGGCGTATGGCGCGCATACTGGCGCGCATGCGGAGAACGGAGCTCACCCTGTGAACTGACAGGTTTCTGCAAGTGACCTTGGAGAGAAGCCCTCTGTACTGCCCTCTGTGACTTAGACATCCCTTTGGGGAGAGAAGCCCTCTTGGAGTCCGAACATTGCCAGCGAATGCAGCTGCACACGGTGTACGCAAGTGCAGCTGCTGAGCCAAGTGAAAAGAAATACCCATGTTTCATGGATAGCAGAGCCTTGCAATTCTACAGGAAATAAACGGTTTGGTCGATCAATATCCCATGCATCTTTGAATGAACCAAACAACTCTGTCAGTGGAGGTGAAAACCTCCAAGTTTGCATGCGGGGGAGTGGGGTCGCCAGTGGGCTCCTGAAACGAAGACATTGTCTCGGCTTTTTAATTTCTTAAATGCACTAGAAGCACTTACGACCGCCTGGATCCATGGAAAAAACAACATGAACAAACACACAAAGATACGTAAAGCAAGGTGCCAAACGAGGAAGAGTAGAACTGCATTCAGCTTTCAAGGCACTGCAATGGACTGTTGACCCCTCTTCTGTTCGTCCATCAAAACGAGTAGCACATTGGATGTAGAGTTCGTTGTGCGACTATAAAGGAGTCATGATGCCTGCCCAGAAAAGAAGGCCTGATTTCAACATTGTGCACCCTCCTGGGATGCCTGCATATACCAACCTCAACCCACGACTCTTTGACCTGTCCATTCCAACCGCTATTCCGCTATTTTGTTCACAAGAAACTGACAAAATCAACCTTCCCAACCAGAAACGGACTATGACCTCCAATTAAAACATCGTCATTCATCATTCATTCAGTCAGTCATTCAGTCAAGAAAGCACCAGTTGCCTTTACATCTACACTCGTCCTCCCACAGCGACTTCCTGGCTTTCCCAAGCTTTCCCGGCCGATGAAAAGACCCGAGCTGCTGGAGGGACAATGCGAGCACTCCCACGGCACTCCACACTGAGAATCGGCCACCGACCTCGCAAACTGTTCTGCAACCGCTTGGCGGATCATGGCGGTTCTGGGCAACGTCTGGCAGGCTTATTGAGGGAGTCAGGATACTAGGCCTCATATCTTCACGTTGAGGCTGTAGTCATCCATGGTCACTCCATGTCACTTCAGAGGTGATCTTGGCACTGAACCTCTGATTCAATGGAACACCCACGTCAAAGAATGTCGGTGAAACCACTCCGGGGACTTGTGCAATCCGCAGTGAACAGTCTGTCAAAAAGGTTGCGCTCCTCAGGCTTACTGGTTTCTGTTCAAGCTGTTGGTCCACCATCATTCCCTAACCCAGCAGCCACAGAAATTCGCTCAAAACTGCGGGTTTTGAACATGATGGTGCTTAACCAGGTGAGTGCCATGCTAGTTTTAGTGAGTGAGAGAGATGTGATCTGCTTTCAACACCAAATGGTACATCGCTTCGATTCGGCCTTTTCTTGCACTTTGGGCGGCCAAAGGAGTTCTGTCTGCTGCTGTTTTTGCTTGACCACACCAATCAATATCTGGGAACCAACGCCAAAAAGGAAGGCCAAATTCTGAGAATCCTTCAAACCACGTCCACCCAGTTCACCTCTCTGAAAGGACCTCTCTGATCGGGACCTCTGATCGGGAGCTCCCCAAAGAGGTCCCGCCGACCCTCACGCCGAGCCCTACGCCGACCTACACCGACGGTCGCCGGACGGGCACCGGGACTTCGCTCTGCGCTCTGTCCGAACGGAGCCATCTGAGGCTCTGGGCCCAGTCCCAAAAGCCGAAGACGTTGTTGGAGTCGATTCCGAAGGCCTACGACACGTGCTCCCCCGTGCCCACCCCGCCACGGCCCTTTTCACGAAAAAGGGGTGAGGCGCAGTGCTGCGAGTCGAGGCAGTTGGTCCAAGGAACTTGAGCTCAAGGAAGAAAGGGGCAAAGCAAAAGAAACAGAAAATAACACATGGCCAACATCTACGTTCCAGTGTTTCGTTTGAACTCTGCTCCACATCAATCTGGCTCCGAAGAATGAGCCAAAGCCATGGTGTTTCGTTCAACACCTCTGGTGTTTCACGAGATGGTTGCCAGCTTGAAATGATCCTTTTGACATGTTCCGACTCAAGTCGAACCTTCGGTTTTGACTCCAAAAAGACACACCCAAGCTGGACGAATCGGCCAATACGCGGAATCCGATGGGACCATGGTGGATAGGTTGGCCCCTCCAACACCCTGCGATTTGACTCGCCTTGAAATCCGACCAGTTCCAAGAGGTGGTGAACTCCACTCCACGTGACCCACGGCTTTTCAGATCGGACCGGAGTGTACTGTACCATACTGTACCCGCTGCTTTTTCGGTCTGTTCGTGGAGTTCTTTGGGTGGCAAAACACCCGAGAAAAAGTCCCAACTACTGACCCCTGACAGCTAGCCATGCAGGCGAGCAATCCAAAAATCGTCCACACAAAGACGGTACTCCCTTTAAATGGAATAACAATGGGTTTTAGTCTGTTCTAGTTCATCAGGTGCTGCAAGGATGCCAGGTGCGATGGGCGAAAAAGCGACCACGTGGACTCCGGACACGGGCAAGACGTGATATCCCTGAGCCCAAATGCATGCAGCTTCATGCAAATGGATCCAGATTGGTGACTGACCAAGACCGCCAACTTTCATCCTCCATCCAAGCAAGGTCGCTGCAGTTGACCAAGTGACCACCTATGACCATCTCAACCCCATTTTGAAGGTCCTGGGGCCCTAGGGCCTTGGTCTTGTCCAGCGCAGTGGAGCAAGCGACCACGTGCTTCGCAACACCTTGGGTGAGGGAGATCGTGGGCTACGGATGGTTATGGTGCGGCCAGGTCAGTCTTTGAAGTCAAGTCAGTCTTTGAGGAAGAGTCACTGGAAACACAAAATATCTAGAAATACATGTTGATTCTTTTGGAAAGGCTGCTAAAGGAAGACAGTCACCTCTCACACCTGGAGTTGTAAGCTGACGCTGAAGAACACCAGGCAAGGCCCCTCGCGCCAGCTCGGGGCCCTCACAGTCCTCGGTGCCCAGCTGCTTCACGAGCCATGCCTCACAGAGAGGAGACTCTTAGTTCACAGGGAGGAGAGTCAGTTCATGGCCGCATGAGAAAGTTCACACCGATTTCATGGCCTGTGAAATGCTTGATTTCAGCATATTTCAGCCTGATGGAGATCTGTGAGATCTGATCGTGTGCTAGTCCTTTAGAACATTGAAGCTCTCATGGGACTCTTGTGACACTTGAACTCTACGCATGGCTCGCGCAAAGTTGTGGCTCTGAAGGCGAACAACATGACAGTTCCAGCATCTTCTACTGCTGCTTGTTGGCCAGCAGTGCCATGTGGCTGTGATTCTATCTGGGGGCTTCATTCCAGATCCCCCTTTGAGCTTCGAACATCACACTCATCCAGTGCCCAATGCGATTGACGCGGGCCCACTGAAGCATGCTTGGTTTACACCCCAGCTTCGCAATTTATGACTTTACACGCAAGTCACGCAAGTTGGGATTTTTGGGTGTACGGTGACTGGACTCAATTTTTCGGGTGAATGGCAGGCGACCGGCAGTTTCTATTCAAGATGGGTCGGTCAGGTTCACTACACTCTATCCATGTTGTGGCAAGTGATGGACCCAGAACTTGGGGCAGAATGAATAATAAGCTCGACGGCTTGAATTGGATCCGAGTAGACCATGCGACCCTAAAGGATGTGGATGTCAGCGTGATGATGTTGCGATGTGGCAAAATCACCGCAAATCACCCAACCCGGCAAGGGTGGCTAGAGGATTTGTTCTACATTCTACATATCGAGGACAGCAACTGCCCATCAAGCAGCACTGCTCGAAGCCGACTCTGCGGGCTAGTCTTCAACTCATGCACCATGCCCCAGTGAGTACCCGAGGCAAGGTCAGACACACGCGCTCTCAAGCGCAACACCTCATGTCCGGTTTACGACGGTCTTGTAATGTCTTGTACCATCGCATTGGCTATAGCTGGCAATTGCAAAAGTCTAGAGCTCAAGCAAGGACTTCAAGGATGGACTGTTGCATTGACCACGAGAATGGTCTCGACGAGCAACAGCGCTGCCACCACTTCAAAGAAGCACCGGCCATGAGAGTCTCCTGGTGTAGGACATTCTCTCATCCAAAGGTGGAAAGTTGCATCGGCCATCACTACCCTGCCATCTCCTGCAGAACAAGGGGTGTAGGACATTCTCATCCAAAGCTGGAATGCTGCAATCACTGTATAGTGCACTGTATGTAGCTGGTGCTACAGGTCGTGAGTTGCTTTTGGTTCAGTCAAAGTCACTTGGGTTTGCTCACTTGCCATGGCAAGTAGACTCAGTCTTTTGTACCGTCCATTGACACCCCTTACTTCTCACATATTCTATCTACTTGAGGCTTTTCTTGAGGATTTCAGGGTGTTCAAATAGCCATAATTTGGAGACCACACACTCCCCCAAACATCAACAGAAACTGACCCTTCCACACATCTTGGACCAAGTCTTGGTGAATCATCTCGCCCACATCCGACGAACCGGCTTCCACGCTTCGACGCGGACGGAAGGTCTCTGGCGCAGGTCTCTGGGTTGCTTAACGGTGTTTTGTTCGAGGACGTTTCGCTCGCGCCCGGGCGGGCCTTGACGGTTTTGGCGTTCAGCATGGTCTCGGCGGTGGTGAAGGTCTTGGAGATGATCACGACCTGATTAAGAAGAAGCCATGGATGAGCGGAGCTGCCGACCGCGCGGGTGAACTGACGCGAGCGGGAGAGGACACGGAACGGGTGAACTGACGGGTGAATGATGTCCTTCATGGTTCTCGTGCGGACCGCTGGGAGTCAAGGAAGAGCCATCAAGCTTGTTGGAGGTTGGTCCAGGGTCTTGATCCCGGGGGAACTTCGGACTTCGTAAGCACTTTATGGGGCCAGACAAGTTGCTGAGGCTCCATGTGTATCCTTTTGTTTCATTCTCGATTCTCCTCAACAACTTTGCAAGATATGTCAGCAACCCAACGTATCATGACAAAAAGATACAGCTGGACTTGGGACTTGGGGCTTGGCACCAACGAATTCTAAGAATGATAAGTATGTGTGTATGTGTACATATATATATATATAACTATATAATATTATTCATACTGCCGCGCTTGGTAGTTGATGGAAGAACATCACCCGCTCTGCCGTGACATCTGCAGCACTGGAACATATGGAGGTGGATCGACACCTCCCGTCTCTCACAGCTGGTCCCTGTGGGCCCCATGCGAAGGGAAAAACAACGCTGGCGACCAAGGGATCTGGCGAAGGTAGGAGGAGCCCGGAAACTCACCAGGTAAACCCTTGGTCCTCAGTCCTCTCAGAGCATTTGGCAAATGTTTCAATCAATGAAGCCCGAAAGTGAACGGTCCTAAAGGTAACACATGTGGACCATGAGCTTCCACCCGTCCGGCATAAAGGTTTGATGTTCATTTTTGGTAAGACATGGCAATACCAAAGTTTGGAGTCTTAAACCTCCAAAGTCATTGGTCTGGCCAAAGGTTTCTGCCAGCTTGATGTATGTTGCACGCCAAAGGCCAACCACACACGCATTTTCGGCTTGAGACAAACTTACTTAGATATCGCTAGCTTCCCACAAAAAAAAACGAACCAACCGAAAGCGATGAGTTGAATGTTTGAGAGTTCTCAGCACTCACGAACCAATTCACGTAAAACAAAACTAAAACTTTGACACCTGGTCGCCTCTCTTTGCACATGGATTGACCGCAGACTCGCAAACTCTCTTGAAACTTCTCAGCATCATCTCAGCATCCCACCAATGTGGTCTCTGCGTTCAAGCCTTCCAAAGCCTCAGTGGCATCTTGAGAGCTCTCTGAGCCAGGTTTGCGCGTCTGAAAGCCTTCGATCGATCCAGCAAACAGGTCAATTCGTCAGGAGCCTCCCATTTTCTTCAAGCGGCTAAGCAGTAAACAAATTGGTAAATCTTAGCGGTTTTTTGTCTGTATCGACTCTAGCTTGTGATCCGTGCCCTTTTGTCCTGCAATCACCCTTTTTTTTTCTAGACCACCGACCCAAGTCCTTGTCTGGTCTAGACTCCTCGCACCCGCAGGCTGTTCTCCCCCTCCAGGCTGCCAGGCTCTGCTGACGTCGATGGGGTCCACATTCGCCAGGAAGCGCAGTTTGCGCCCGGCCGCCGCGCTGGCGGCCGCTGGGTCGGTCTTGAGGGCCTCGTAGACGAACTCGACGCCCAAATAGGAGCCACCGATACTGGCGCATCCGACCAGTTTGGGAAAGTGGTGTGATGCTATGTGTTTGTTTTTCTGATTTGCGCATTGGGGTTGACCAAGTGGGGGGCTAGGGCAGTTGATGGGGGGTCAGGGGTGGTGCTTCCAGCGAAGTATGTTTCTGGGCGACCACAGCTATATTGTTGCAACTCTTGCTGCATATTGTGGCCCAAAACTGTTTACTCTGTCGTGGGGTTGTATGACACACACATATCATGAACATCGCCAAGCTGGTGACAACGGTGCTTTGTGGAGGGATCTTTGTGGAGGGATTGGGCGGTAACAGTGATTGCTGGTCAAACTGTGCTCCCTTTTTTGTGGATGCTGAAGCACTAAGACGCCTGGACACATTGGGCAAGAATGTCATGATTTCTCTGGCAGCCAGGTGGTACCATGAAAAGGCCGCCGTTTTCTTTTAGGATTTTTCTGGCTCCTGTTGTGGGCGCCTTCCTTAAGGCCCGTGTCTCCAAAATGATAGGGGAAGTTTTCGAAAAGAAACCTTCTTTGTGTGAGACCCTAGATGTGACGCAGGAATCCTCCAAAACGAGCGCTTCGCCCAAGACTTCCGCCACAAGTGACAGGGGAAGTCTCCAATACGGGCGTTTCGTGTCTCGTTTGAGTGCTTCCAAAAGTGACTTGGGAAGGTCGTTCGAGACTTGTTGCGCTTGTCTAAAAGTCTAGCACATCAGAGCTAATGTGTGAGTGCATGAAGCAATCGGACCGCAGCTATCCTCTGGGCAGCGGTCATGCCCTGGCAACATAGCAAGATGGTTGGAAAGATGGTGAAAAGAAGAACTTGGACTTTGGTAGCCTGAAGCAAAGAGGCCTTCCACAAAGAAGTGCGAGCAACAGCGTCAGCACTCTCAGAAACGCGCCAAAAGAAAAAGAGCACGCTGACCCGGCAAAGTGAAGCGCATGAGGAAAGAGCATGGGGGCTGAAGCTGCAGGAGGATGAGCTTTAGTCGATTGCAATCCATTCAATCGTTGTGGACCAGACCTAACTAGATCACGTCGGCAGCATGCGCTGAGGCCCTGGGGCGGAGATGACTGAGCACGCCCGCCACTGTCACACGTAACCAAAACCTCGATCATGCGGAATCATGCGTCAGCCTTCCTGCAAGGCCATTTCAATGCGTGGGCGTGAGCTTGTGGCAAGGTGAGATTGAAAAAACTTTGGAAGTCTGTGTAAGACCACAGTCGCTTCTTGCCGCGCGAAACGCGACCGAAGACTGCCAAGACCGGCAGACTGGAGCAGAGTCATCAGATGGTCAGGCCCACGGCGCTCCACCTGAAAATTGAGTAGGGCCTCCTGCTTTCTTTCTACTTGGTCGGCCAGCTTGCGATCGTGGCTTGGCTAGGGGCTCCAACGATCAAATTCCTTGGCTGAGCAGGGCGCAATATCTGTGTTCACATTGCCATGACTTGCCGGCCAGTTCGCAACCAACAAAGTGTGCGCATGTGGTCATTGCCTCCAGACGCATGGATGTCTGCCAACAATTGGCAACTTGAGGCCCAATGAGAACAGAACGCCAATCATCAAAGACTGCCCTATTTCAGGTATGTATGCAGGCAGAAGCCAAATCATAAAGTTCAAGAGCAGCTAGGGCCTCACAGGCAACATCAGTGGACTTCGCAGTGAAAAGGATTTGGATTCAAGCCACATGGATGGGCCCTTGGCAGGTACTCGCTTGGACCAGAAGGTCCTCCAAAACGATGTTCCCCTGAACAAAGAAGGACGGTCTTCTGCCAAAAGTCTGTTCGATTTGTAGTTGCGCACGAGGTGGGCTGATGAGGCCGGCAACGTGCAAGAAATTACATGTTGACTCTCGAAAACAAGCACGCCGAGTGCTGAAGCTTTGACGCCAGCTCAAAAGGAGTCGGGCTTTTTTGCACTACCAATGTTTTGAGAAGGTGCATGTGCCACGACCCTTGTGGAGAGGAGCCACAGCGGTGCTTGACATCACCCTGTCAGGTGCAGCGCGCCAATGCGCATCCCACAGCCCGTCCGCAGTACGGTGGAAGTATTGCTGCTGAAGAGACCGAAGAACAGGATACTCTCCAAGGACATGTTCCCAGATGTTGACCCACACGATGTGAAAAGGACACGCTGGCATGTACCGAGACAAGTGGAACCAGCAGAGGGGCGCCTCCTTCCATGTCTCCATTCAGCCGCTCTTCTAAAAACTTAAAGTCACTGACATCAAACGAGCCTCTAGCCTGCACAGGTTCTTCAGGCGATGCATGGCCCAACACGGCCTGATGTCTGGCAAAAGCCTGGTGGCCCTTAGCATCCACCGTTGTGGGCCTTTGGCGTATGCTTAGTTTAGCTTAGGTGAATTAGGTTGTTAGGGTTGGTTAGGTCCAGCGCACATACAAGATTGCCGCTTCTGAGCACATTGATTGAGGGACTCTGAAAAAGCCAACAGAAGCCACCTAATGAAAGCGAAAAAATATCCTAAAAAATCCTAAAAACATCCTATAAAGACATGAGTTCACCATGAAAACGCCTCTCTTTCTTTATAGGACAGATCTTCAATTTTCAGTACATCTCCCAAAGCACCTCAAACCTACAGGCCATAACACAACCTGACTAGACACAAGAAAACCAAGACTCTGTAGCCGCTCCGCATTGCACAGATTGATGAAAACATCGGAACCTCCGAACCGGACAGCATCGGATGGTCGGCTCGAATAGGTCGGCGGCACCCGATGCACACCACGTCCGTGAGGGGCTTGCCAGTGTGGCCCTTCCATTCGCCCGAGCGGACCTGAAGGACATCGAAGGACTGGTGGGTGGAAGGACGATGAGACACGTTTTGCCAGGATAGAGATGTGTGGCGCTCAAAACCAACTGACGACCAGCACCAGCTGCTAATGCAAGGAGCACAGCGAGCA